CCCCCCTCCCCATCTACTCCGACCAACCTAAGATTATTAGGTTCACTATCGGTGCTTGTGAGCGGAATCAGATTTCGGAATTTGGATAATTTCTTTATTTTTTTAATCAATCAAAAGGGACTGTAAGCGTAATTAAGAAATTATCAATAAACAGTTCAAAAACATTGATATTTAATTCATACTAGATCAGAATAAGGTTTCAAGGTACCGCACGTTGTAAATCGAGCTTTGTCCCTTTGATAAACAAATTTGCGTAATTCATGATTGCGTAATTAAATTTGTCAATTTTGAAATGATTTTTATAAAAGTGGAATTTTCCATTTCTATTCTTCGTATTAATATATTCAGTTGGCGAGAAAATTCATAATTTTTATCACTGTTAGTCGCACCCTTTGAACCAGAAACTTTTGAGATTTCACACTATAACGAAACTAGGTTTCATTCATAATTCTATAAAGTTTCACAGAACTTAAAACTTTTGAATAGGAAAACGACATTTAAGTAATCTTATGTTGTTAGAAAGTAAATAGTAGTTTAAAAATCGACTTAATAATTGTAATAGGATTGTGCACACTGCACAAATTCCTGTGTTTAATGTTCATTGAATTATCTCAAATCATAATTTGAGTTTATCAGTCGTCTTCATAATCCCATAGTTTTATGGTTCACATATGAAATCTAAAAAATTATTGGACCATTAGAAGACAAACATATTTGTTTACTTTTAGATACTTCAATATATATACTTTCCTTGTCTGTTTTTATCCAAAAAAAACCTTGGGGAACCTAACATGGCCCCAGGGCAGGTTTTTGAATGATGAAAACTTCAAAAATTAGTCTCCAATTTTTATAAGTTTCCATGTCTGAGTTGAATATGAATATATTTATATACATATGAATTGTAATTATAAGTTGACCGCGCATTACCCCCTACCTTTAACCCTTTCTTACCTAGTTAACCCTATCATTAACCCAATCAGAACCAATTAACCAGCAGGACTATGCGGACATCAGTATTTGTTACGGTAAGAACTGCTTTTATGTTATTTTTTAATGTTTCTTTTGTATTTCTTATATTAACATTGTACTCTGACGGCGAATTGCTGCTCAAATTTTGAAATCATCCTCGTTTTTCTGCATAAAAATTAATGATTTTTTATTGGAGGTTCTCTAAAAAAGTGGCTTTCGAATTATATGCATGATAGACAAAAACATAATTTACAGAATCCAACGCATTTTAATAATTTTAAAATCTATAATATCTAACACAATAATGGTCTACAATTTTTTTTCTTCATTTTAAATATTTGTTCATAGAATTTTCCAAGAAATAATTTCTCGCAACTAGCAAAAGCATGTTTTTTTTGCTTTTTTGTCAAACTTCCGTACAGCTATAGTCTTTCTAGATCAATGTCGGGTTTCTTTGAATTTTCTCAATTAAATAAAACAAAAATAGTTACGCATTAATTTTCATGCGTTTCAATGATGGTACAATTACAATTAAAAGTTATGTTTCATTTAGGGCCCTCTAGTTTATAGAAGTTTATATTATACGTCACATTAAGGTTAACTGCATGTTATATTAAAATCGAATATGTTCTTATTAAAGAGCTATTGAAAAACCAAAAATGTTTATATCATGTAACATATAAAGTTTGCATACCCCTTATACTTATGCGTAAAATAAAAACTAGAGTAGCTCCGAGGTCACAAAGTCGTATTACTATGGCAAAAATTTGACATTTAAATTTAATTTTTAGTCCTGTATACTATTTATTAATTCCGAAAAACCTGCAAAATAAAACTGCTGTTAAAAATACCCCCAAATGCCAAATATATATTTACAGAGATTAATAAATTATAGATAACTTCTTCATTCGAAGTCAAACCTTAGAGAAATCTAAGGTATAGAAACCGCTACGTATAGCAACAAGGCGTATTTTCCAGGAGCGCATTTTTTATATTTTTGAGAAATTAAATAATTTGTGTAAAGTAGATATAATTTTCATAAAATCCTTTTATTTAAATGGTAAAATGGAATTTTATGAAATCATATTAGCATTACTAGAGAACTTTTTGTTATACTTTAAAATTTTTTTTTTATAAAAATAAAACTGTAGCATTTTTATGAAATATTTTTTTAATAGTAACATGCAATTTTATGTATAACCATATAATCATTTATTTATGTTGTCAGTACATAATAAAATCTGGGGGACCTTAAACACAATAGAGAGAAAATGTACATATTAAAATCTTTTGCTCCTTTAATGTCTAGGGTATGTTAAAAAAATAGAAATTATGATAATGATACTGTTAAGCTACAATGTTTTACAAAAACGTTTAATTTCTCAAAAATGTAAAAAATGTTCTCCCGGAAAATACGCCTTGTTGCTCTACATAGCTGTTTCTACACGTTGGATTTCTATAAGGTTGACTTCAATTAGTTCATATTTAGATTGCATTGTTCCTGTCAGTAGCAGCATCTAATCCTCTGTCTACTGAGGAGGATCCTCTAGATATCACAGAGGAGGTTAAAGAGATCAACGAGGACGATAAAAAGGCCCAAGAACAACAAGTACAAAATCAGGACGCAGAGCGTTCTGATGAAGTCTTTAAAGATGATGATGATGAACCTGGAGAAGATCGGGAATCCAAGAAGGGGGTTCCTGGAGGGAGCGGTAGATTCGGATCCACTCATCAGTTCCATCATAGGCATAGGGACCTTGGACATCGGGTAGCTTTTAAGCATCCAACCCGTGCGCATAATCATGCTGTACGGCATCCAAACATTCGCCAGTCAAGAAGTGTTGAAGAAGCACATGATGCTGTGAAGAACATACGGGAAGCAGAATCAAGTTATGGTGCCTTCAAAGCGACTCATCGTTATGGTCATTTTCATCATCAAGAACATCATCCAGAGGCGTATCGTGCAAGGTTCAACAAACCTCAAGTAACTCATCATCATTACCATCACCCACTCCCAGAGCTTCACAGACAGGCTCGTCAGGTTTCTAACTCTGAGAATGATGCTCTAGTTGAAGACACTCTTCCAGAAGCGTCCGATGGAAAGGTGGCTAATCCAAGCATCGGTATTCATGATGTTACTCATCAAGCTTCCCATTACCATCATGATTTAGGCCATCAGCTGCATTACCAGCACCCCTTTCATTTCAGGCCTAAACCTCTGCATCACCGATCCCGCTGCTCTGAAGACCATGCTGATCAAGGAGAACAGATAACAGGCAAAGTTGATCAAGAAGAACAGATCGAAAATGATGCTGATCAAGAAGAACATATCGAAGACGATGTTAATCAAGGAGAACGGATTAAAGATCATGATGGTCAAGGAGGACGGATTACAAGAGAAGCTGTTTCAAGTCTTGGTGCATTCAGAGCCACACATCAGTATCATCATCACCATCATAGATTATTCTAAAACATGTTGAAATTTTAAGATTTAATTTCATTGCATTTTCTTTATTTATATAATTATGTTTTTCTTATAATGCAATGCAATTAACTATTTTAGAGCAAAGTATACGAATTAACAACGATCTATTCGGTTTAATATTTATTCAAGAAATTAAAAATAAGATCAAATAGGTATTTTATTTTAAATTTTATTTTAGAATTTCGAGTACGACGTCATTATAAATGCATATAATAATAATGATAGATTGAATTTATATTTTTACAGTAAAGATTTATTGTAATAGAAACTTTTTCAATGGATGCTTTGTAAGCTTTTAACAAAAGTAAAATTGTTTGTTTTGTAGTTTTTCAGTTTTATTTGCATTCTTTTCAAAAAACATTAAATATTCTTTAAATTTTGTCATTCAATCTTTGACTTTTATTGCCTGCATTAAAATCATTAAAGCCTGTTATTTTATTCCCGAGTATTTTTGAAACTTTACAGTTGGGTAAATAAAACAGCTGGCGTAGTTTTTTTTTCGTTTTTCAAGATCAAACATCTAAACATTTTGAGAATCTACAGATAATAAAAAATATCGTGCATTTTCTTTCATCACAATTTAGAGCATCTATTCTGTCTATCTTACGTAATGTAACTCGCCCTGTAAATTCATCAATCTATTCATTTTTATATCTTTTTTATTATTTTAATCCAAAAAAATCCGGGCTTGTCCGTATATTAACGGTTTGCATGTGCTATACATAAAACCGTGTTAAAACTTATTATCCCTCCCCTCTCATCCCTCCCCTCTCATCCCTCATTGTAGATTTAGTCCTCCCTCATCCTTTACTTCTTAACCCTTATTAGTATCCTGATCCCCCCTCCACCCTTTTTTCTATTTAAGTCATGCAATCGTAAAAAGTGTTCCACCCATTTTGAATTTTATATTTTGAATTATTCGGATCTTTCGGATGTACGGGCGCTTGGTAAATTCAAAATTGAAAGTAGCTAAAAGGGGTGAGGGATGGGGTAGTAGTTCCAAAGTTAAAAGGATTGGCATCCTGCATGGAATAATAGTTGAAAAGGGGGGGGGGGAGAACCAAAATTGGGAGTAAATCATTTAAGAGGGAGGTAGTTGGGATGATAGGATGAGGATTGCGAAGTTATAGTTTAAGAGAGTATTGGTAAAGAAAAATAGTCTGGAGAGTGGGAGAGGGTAGCAGTCGAAAGTTTAAAAGGTTGGGATTTTGCCCTTCGAAAGTTGGGAACTTGGGAGTAGCTTATTTACGAGGGTAGTTGTTGAGAAGAGAGACTTGAAAATAAAGTTGGATTGGGTTTGGAAGAAAGAACCAAACAGGAGAAAAAGAAGCAGAACTCTTGGGAAGGGGTTGGGAACAGGGGAAGTTCTAGTGGGAAGTGGATTGTGTGAGGGGGAAGCTTTAGAGCTTGTGACCTTTAAACGAAACGACTTTGTGACCTATAGTTTTCTGTGCAACCATGAAAAAATCATATATATTCGGTAACATTTAAGAAATTCAATTTTTTTTATTCTCAAAAGTTTTTTGAAGAGAAGTCATGATTAAGACTTGGTTTGACGTGTCATGAATCCATGATATAACTTTATCATTATATCTTGGTATTTTCAATTAATTATATCATTGCGTGTGATAAGAGTATTATTTTTTATAAAGCCATTACCAATCAAAAGTAAATACCCCCCTTCACCGCCCCTCTTCCCCCCGGTCCGTGTCCCCCAATCCTAATTGCAGAGTTTATAATGATATAATGATTCCAGATATAGCAGTATAATGGTTCAAAAATTAGAGCCTTGATGCTTTACTAGAGTGTCAAGATTTACTAAGAACATTTTTTAAGATCTTTATCTGTTTACAATACACGTTAGTTAACAAAATTTAGACAATTATATACAAATGCATAACTCTCCGCTAATATTTTGGTTTATAATAACTCTCCGTTAGTATTTTGGTTTATATAATTCTCCGCTAGTATTTTGGTTTATATAACTCTCCGCTAGTATTTTGGTTTATATAACTCTCCGCTAGTATTTTGGTTTATATAACTCTCCGCTAGTATTTTGGTT